AATGTTTCAAACTGCAGGCTCAGAGGCCGGCAAGGCAGGCGGGGAACGTTGGAGTCCCCCGTCACGGAAGCAAGCAAGCCTCATGTTAACTTCAAGCTGCCTGGCTGCTGGCCGCCATCTTGGCTGGCAGTTAATTTGCATATCGCCCTGATTAGCCAATGGGAAGGATAGCTGAGTGTACGCTAATTACCATGTTTCTCTTTTAATAGCTAGGATACACATTCTCTATTCTAAATACATCTCCTGACCCCACATAAAAACATACAAGGAATAAGCACCAAAATCCCTCTCAGTGACAGAAAAAGAAACACACCCACAAAATAATTATCATCTGGTTTGGCTCAGTGGATAGAGCTTCAGCCTGCAGACTGAAGGGTCCCAGGTTCAATTCCAGTCAAGTGCATGTAACTTGGTTGTGGGCACATCCCCAGTAGGGAGTGTGCAGGAGGCAGCTGATCAATGTTTCTCTCTCATTGATATGCAGGATGGTCTTAGGCGACCCCTGTGAAAGGGTCGTTCGACCGCCAAAGGGGTCACGACCCACAGGTTGAGAACCGCTGGTCTAGGTGCTAGAGTAATTCCCCTGAAAAAGAAAACTACAAAAACCCCAGAGTAAATATTATGTCTAAACATTCTTGCCCTGCCAATATGTTCTTAATTTTCTTTTAACTCCATGTTAATTTAAATGAGTTTTAAAGATCATATGCTATAGATTGAAAGTTTCAAATGACACAGTAGTGATAAAATGCTGGTGGCATCATGCTTAATGAGAGAGGAAAGGGAAGGGAGATGAGAGCCACCATTATCTCATCTCTTTGTTACTAGTTAAGAAATAAATCACATACACACACACTCTTCTCTGTCGTCTGCAGGAGTCCTGGCTGCGGGGTGGAATGAGAACATCGTAAGGATTTCTCAGAGCTAGGTCTTTACCGACTTGGAAGCTCCTGAAAAATATTCAAGCACATCATGGCTCCTTCACGAATGCAAAATGAGAAATGAGGTGTCAGCGGCTCTGGAATTCCTTTGTTGGGAAGAAGTCCAAGGTGATGAAAGGCAGGGTGATATGCATGGGCACCTGGATTATAAAACGGGTATGATTAGGCTAGATTCCCATTCACATAAAATGACTTCCAGGCAGAGTCCCCAGCACTTAGCACTCCTTCCTCTGAGCGGATGCAAGAGTCTCAATGCAAGAATGGAAACCGCTGAAGGATGATGAAAAGCCTTCTTGCAGAGAGCTCCTTCATTCATTTCTTCATTCCACAAATAATTGCTGCGCTCACTTTATGGCAGGCATGTCTTCGTAATGAGGAACACAGAGATGAAGCGGACAGACCAGGTCCTAGCCTTCGTGGGGCTTCTGCTCTAGTGCGAGAAAACAGACAAGGGAAAGGGGGAGGAGAAAGAGAAGAAAAAAAGAGAAAAGGAAGATCAAATGTTGTAGGTGCTGAGAAGAGAATTAAAGTAAGATGATGGATGGTGTGACTGGAGGACTCTAGATTGGGTGGTGAGGGAAAGGCTGTCTCAGATGAAACACCGGAGCTCTGAATGTCAAGTCATTAATGCTAACATCAAAGGGAGGAACATTCAGGCAAGAGGGGCTATGTGCTCAGGGAATAAATTTAAGATCAGCCCAAACAAAATATAATTAACAGAATAATTTTGTGCCTCCACTAAATAAGCTTTCAAGAACCTTTTCTTTCCCTTATTCATATCTCTGTTAAATGGACTATTCAGAGTCCAATGTTGAGAAATACAGCTCAGCAGCAAACACAGACAACTGAGAAATATTAGCGGCTGAATGGAATAGTCACTTCCGATAGTGACTAATGTGCCATTCTTTCTAAACAGGAACCCTACCTCTTCCTGATATCAGAGTCGGAAAGAAGAAAACAGCCCCAACCAAGAAACCAAACCCAACCTAAAACACTCCACCTCACCCCAAATAGAAATAACCCATTTTATTTACCAACTTCATCAGTGAGAGACGAGATTGACATCAGGGTAAGAGGTCTTTATATTCCACATTAATTGCAAAAGAGCAGAGAAGCAAAAGAGCAGAGAGGTGAGACTTTGGAAAGAATGCTCAAAGAACTACACCCTTCTTCCTTGATTGTTTACATCAGACTTGCAATCAAATACTAAACATACACCAGCTATATACTGTTTGACCAACTCACCTGCTCTGGAGTGAATTGTGTCATGCCCAAATTCATGTGTTGAAGACCCAACCCTTTCATGAGACTGTGTTGGAGATGGGGCTTTTCAGGAGGAGACTGAGGTTTAATGAGGTCATAAAAATAGAAACCTGATCTAATAGGACTGGTCCTCTTATACGAATAAGAAGAGACACCTGAGCTGGGCTCTCTCTCTGCTTTGTGAGGACACAGTGAAAAGGCAGCTGGAAGACAGTCTTCACCAGAACCAAACCATTCCAGTACTTTCATCTTGGACTTCCAGCATTTAGAACTGCGAGAAATAAACGTCTGTGTGTCAGCCACGCAGTCCATGGTATTTTGTTATGGCAGCCCAAGTAGATTAAAAGGTCACCTTACCTCTAGGGGGCACAGAGATGGTGTAGTAAAACAAGTGAAGGAGCAAGATACACCCTCCAGCCCCAAATTGGTATTAGAAAAGGAGCTAATGAGATTGTGGTGTTTCGAGGGTTTAGTGTAGAATTAAAAAAACAAACAAACACCTCTATTTTTTATAACTTTGAATTAATATATTGTTTAAACAAAAATTTAGTAATATTTTAAAAGATGTTTTACATTTATACCAGGCCATTTGAAATGTTCATTGACTAAATGAATGAATGTATGAAAATGATACTGACCCCATAATTTACATTTTTCTCCCTGGTATTGAGGTTATCTTTATGTTTGACCAAGACTGGGCCCCTATTTAGTAGGTGAGTGTCAGCTATACCCTCCCCTAAACAAGTTCAGGGCTGTAGGATGACTTAGGGGACTCTAGACCACTGCCTTCATGGGTCCCTTCTTCTATTAAAAATTTAAAATTATATATTTTAGAATGGCATTCTTACTATTTTTTAAATGCAATATTTTAAAAAAATTATTTAACTGTTGAGAGTATTACAGATGTCCCCCATTTCCCCACCCCTTTGCCCTCCTCCATCCATTTCCACCTCATCCCAGGCCTTCACCTATCTATTGTCTGTGTCCATGAGCTAATTTGTACTTCTAAATACCCCCAACTCTCCTCCCATCTGGCAACCATCAAAATGTTCTCTGTATCTATGAGTCTGTTTCTGTTTTGCTTGTTTATTTATTTTGATTTTGATTCAGTAGTTGATTATATATATATATTCCATTTTATTGTTCATATTTTTTAAAGTATATTTTATTGATTTTGTTACAGAGAGGAAGGGAGAGGGATAGAGAGTTAGAAACATTGATCAGCTACCTCCTGCACACTCCCTACTGGGGATTGCCCGTAACCAAGGTACATGCCCTTGACCGGAATTGAACCTGGGACCCACTCCCTTCTGGCCTGCAAAGTTTCTGTTAAACAATCAGCTGAATATTTTATGGGAGCTCCCTTATAGGTAACTAACTGCTTTTCTCTTGCTGTTTTTAAGATTCTCTCTTTTATCTTTAACTTTTGGCATTTTAATTATGATGTGTCTTGGTATATGCCTCTTTGGGTTCATCTTGTTTGGATTCTCTGTGCTTTCTGGATTTGTATGTCTATTTCTTTCACCAGGTAAGGGAAGTTTTATGTTATTTTTTCAAATAGGTTTTGATTTCTTACCCTTCTCTTCTCCATTTGGTATCTCTATGATTCGAATGTTGGTACACTTGAAGTTGTCCAAGAGGCTCCTTACACTATCTTCATTTGGGGGGGTTCCTTTTTCTTTTTGCTGTTCTGATTGGGTGCTTTTTGCTTCCTTATATTCCACACTTTTTATTTGCTTCTTGGAATACTCTGCTCTACTGCTGATTTTCTATAAATTATTCTTTATTTTAGATAGTGTGTGCTTCATTTCTTACTGGTCCTTTTTTATGTTGTTAATGTTCTCACTAAGTTCATTGAAGTTCTCAGTAAGTTCCTCGAGCATACTTATAACCATTGTTTTGAACTTATTCTGATAGTTTTCTAGCTTCCATTTCATTTTGTTCTTTTTCTATGGATTTATTCTGGCTTGCATTTGTGACATATTTCTTTGTCTCTGCTTTTTGGCTGTTTCCCTGTACTTGTTTATTTTTATTTTTATTTTTTATTTTTTATTTTTTTATTGATTTCTTACAGAGAGGAAGGGAGAGGGATAGAGAGTTAGAAACATCGATGAGAGAGAAACATCAATCAGCTGCCTTCTACACACCCCCTATTGGGGATGTGCCCGCAACCAAGGTATATGCCCTTGACCAGAATCGAACCTGGGACCCTTCAGTCCACAGGCCGATGCTCCAGCCACTGAGCCAAACCGGTTAGGGCCCCTGTACTTGTTTTTATGTATTAGGTAAATCTGCTATGTCTCTCAGACTTGGTAGAGTGGCCTTATGTAGTAGGAGTCCTGTAGGATCCAGTGGCTCGGCCTCCCCAGTCATCTGAGCTGGGCATTCCAGGTGTGCCTCTGTGTGAGGTCCTGTGGCTTAGCCTCCCTAGTCATCTGAGCTGGCACTCCAGATGCGCCTCTGTGTGAGCTATAGGAAGTGTCTTATTGTAGTTGAACCTTGGTTGATGTTGGCATCACTGGGAGGGATTGTGAGGATTGGCTGCGACTACAGAGGAAGAGCTGCTGTGCACGAGCTGACCCTATGGAGCAGGACTTGCTTCAGTGGGGCATTGGTGTTCACTGAGTCTGCCCCTGAGTGTGTCATTCATGGAGGTGATAGGGTTATATTCCAGCATGGTTGAAACTGATCACTGGGTACTGCTGGCTCAGGAGCCTCCCAAGAGGTGAAAAGTCAACCACTGCCTGTGCTTTGCCCTGGGCCATCCAGCGTGAGCTACAAAGCAATCTGCAGGTGGTTGCTACTTGTGTTGGACTTGGAATGCCTGGGAGAGACCAAGCTATGAATCAAGGCAGGCTGCTGCTAGTGCCAGGCCTGGGGCCACTTATTGAGAGGTACAGGGCACACTGAAGACAGCTTCTGCTTGTTTGAGAGGTTTTAGGAAAGTCCAAAGCATAAAGCAAGAGAGGCCCGTTGTATGGAAAAACCCTGGAAATGTCTTGGATGAGCCTGCAATTTGGGAAGGGCAGGGAATCTCCATGGCAGGGTGAAAAGTTTAAGTCAGGTTAATGGAGATTCAGATATGGTGTCCTGCCTGCTGGCTCTGTGGTGGGGAGGGCTCGGCAAATGAACAGTAACCTCTGCCAGCACTTCTGTCTGGGAGAACACTGCTTCTCTAGCTCTCACCATGATTCCAAGCAAGTTAGATCCTCCCCAAAATGTCCCAGTTTCCTTTCAAGCTGCTGTCCCAGCACTGGAGCTCAGAGGGAGTCTGAGTAATTCCACGCACTGGCCCTTTAAGAGGAACTACCTGGGTCTTCAGCAGCCTCCATGTCACTCAGCCACAATCCCTGTTAGTTTTTACATCCTGAAGTTGTGGGGACTTCTCTTCCTGGTGCTGGAACCCTGGGCTGGGGGGCCTGGTGTGGGGCTGGGACCCCTCACTCTTCAGGGAAACCTCCACATCCAAGATACACCTCCTAATTCTAAACTGCCACACATGGGTGTGGGACCAGCTGGTTCCACGATCCCGCCCCACGTCTCCGCCCCCCCTACCAGTCTCAATGTGCTTCTCCTTTAATTCCCTAGTTGTAGGACTTCTGTTCAGCTAGATTTCAGGTGGTTCTGAATGATGGTTGTTCGGTATTTTAGTTGTAATTTTGATGTGGTTGTGGGAGGCAGCGAGTACCATGTTTAACTACATCGCCATCTTGACTGGAACCCCATTCTTCTTATTTTAAAAGAATGAACATGAAAACATTTTCCTGAGCCCATGAAAAAATATCATGAGTCCTGGGCACTGTACCTCTGGACCCTGACAGAATGGTTAATTCTCTGTTTCTGGGGTCTAAGTCCAACTTCCATCACCCCTTACCTGTGAGACTGGGGAGAGTTTATAAAAATGAGATGAATGAAGGTATAACAATATGAAGGAAAATATTCCTTGTTAGCAACAAACTTGTTTGGTTGGTGAGAGACTTTGATACCCATCTTTGGGTGGGATATGTGGTAGCAATAACACATTGTGCACTGGAGCTGGTAGAGGAATCTGGGCGGGGGCGCAGTCAAGAACAGAAATATCGAAGGGCAAATCTTACAAAGAGGTTTCTCTTCTTCATTTCCTCAGGCTATCTTTAGTAATATTTCCATTTCTCTTTAAACATTCTGAGAGTTGAATCTATTTGGGAGAAATAGAAGGTGCTGAGTTCTGCTCCGAGGTGAGCTTGAGTGTAGAACAGAAGTGGCAATGCCGAAGTTACCTGGGGAATTTTCTAATTCAGTGCCTGCAAGTGCCCAATAAATACTGTCTTTTAATATTAACAGCCCAGTACAGGATTGAAAGCTCATTTCTGCTTCACTTGCACCATCTATACTGTGTTTAACAAATACACTAACTAGCCTAGATAATTATCTTGGGCAGTGGTCCAGCTGGGGATGATTTCATTCCTTCTCCCCTAATGGATGTTTGTCAGTGTCTGGAGATATTTTTGGTTGTCACAACTGGGTGAAAGTGTGCTACTGGCATTGAGTAGGTAGCAATTGTGGATGTTGCTAAACATTCTGCAATGCTCAGGACAGCCCTGACAACAAAGAACTGTCTGGCCCAAAATGTCCATAGTGTCAAGCTTGAGAAACCCTGATATGAGCCTTTTCTCTAATGACTACCCCCTGAAATAAAAAAATGAGGGGGCATGCTATGAGTTCAGCTGACTCTAATTTAAAGAAAAAATACAAAGCAAACAACTATATTTATGAGCTTCTTCCTTTTCTTTGAACCTTTGATTGCCTACAAGGGGTGGGTTTATATTGATTTATGGGATAAATTTCTTTCTTATAAAATTTTAGGCATTTTAAAATAATGATTAAATATTCCTCGACCTTCTCTATAAGCACAGAATTAATTCATGAAGCAGTATTAAAGTTTAATGATAGATACAACCAAAGCAAATCCTAGGGCAGGTGTGGGCAACCCCTGGCACGCATGCCAAACATGGCACGCCAGTAACTTTGGTTGGCACGCGAAACCCTCTCTTATAATCTTCCATTTACAATTTTTTTCTTAATATCGACTTTTTTATTTTTCAGATAAATTCAGTGTAGGTGCATCTTAGATAAAGAAATAATTTTACATAACATGTATACATTAAAAAATAAATGTATTTTTCATCATCATATACCGTGTTTTTGTCGCTCGAATGAATTTTATGATTTCTTCAAGGTTCTTCACATATGTACACCTTAAGAGATATCAAGTAGGTGTAACATGTTCTCAAAAAATTAGGGTTGGCATGCAGAAGA